TAAACGAGAATCTTGAGTATTCTTTCATGTTTGTCATTAACTTGCATAGTATTAAAAATTGTTCTTACTCCTTAAAGTGTGCTGTATCAAATTAACTAATAGATATAAACCCCCTAAGTGCATGTGATGTAGGTATATTGCTGTATAAGAAAGGGAAGTTGACGATTGAAAAGTTAGAGTCGTGTCTTTTGTCAAAGAGCGTGGTTGTTAGATTACCATTAACGTCTTTTTAAAGTAAAATAGCCAAATATGAAACGGATGTGTCCGACTCTGTGGTATCTTTATTTCTGCTCACCGGGATACTAGTATATCGTATACACATGAGAATGGAAATAACCATTATTGGGTTTTTTAAAATCAAATTTCATATTTGATTCGATACGCAAGAGCATGATCTAAGTATGTACAATTTCTAAAACAAAGTAAATTAAAGCTGCAGAACTGTAGCTCTCCGAAAAAATGTATATTGACAGACCGGAGAGCTACAGTGCCATCCACTGAAAAAACTATATTTATTGCGCAAAAAAAGTTGGTTCTGGATTAATTCTTCGAAATTCTTACCTCAGTTGCAAAAAACCAATGAAAAGAAATGAATCGAGAAACATCGCACTTTTTTGTGAATAATAAATATACAGTTCAATGTGTGGCACTGTAGCTCTCCGGTCTGTCAATATATATTTTTCGGAGAGTTACGGTTCTGCAGCTAAGTGAATTATTGACAAACAAGTTGATGTAACAAGAATATCAGCACTCTCATTTAAAGTCATCATTTCGTTAGTTCTGTGGTTGATACCCTGTCAGCAAGTACAATTTATCTTTGAATCAAATGCTGAATGACGTTTTTCATACAAATTGTTAGGCCTTTGTTTGCACACTGAATTGACGGTGGATTTTTTCCGAATTCCCCGATCCTGACAAGGAACACACGGCGGTTGTGACCGGACAGCAGGGGGTATTCACTCCTCCGTGGCATCTGATCCCACCTCTGATGTTTTGGAGGTCCTTTTTGCTTTCCTCAAATTTTGTATTGTTTTCTGAACTTTTGAGCTTGAATACTGCTTGTTATCTCCATATATTTCATAGAAACCATGCTCAGATAATATGCATGAATATTAGACCTGATGGAAGATTTTGTTTTTTTTAGGATAATTGTACAGATGGAGCAGGCTTAATCTGTTGTAGAACTGTACAGTGTATTAGTAAGTGTCTGCATTACTTTCTTTACCATGTTCATCATCACCTGATGTTAAATCACTCTCCATCACAGCTAATCAAAGACCACATAATCAGAGGATAATTATGCGGTCAATGGCTAAACATGGAGATAAATCATTTACTAAGTTACTAATATTGTTGTTTAAAAAGATATACAAATTATGAAACTAAAGCAGTTTTATGTGTATCTGGTGTGGGGGAGGGGAACCTAACTGATAAAAAAAACCATGACCTGTGAAGATAAATAAGCAGATAAGATTAACCCTATGAATTATATATTGCGTTACATTAAATTCCTTAGAATGAAAATATTCAAATGAAACGCCTTTTGTTTACGCATTTTGACAAATGAAGAAATGTGACAAAGCAACATTGGTTATGGTGAGAATTTTTAAAAATCCATGGAAAGTAATTTATGATTTGAGAAACATTGTCTCGTAGGATGTAGACTGATTTCACTGTGTATATTTTAATTTGTTGCATATTGTTTTTAAACATGAAGAAAGAGTCAATAAAAATGAAGAAAAAAAACAGCAATGTGAAATGGTTCTGCTGTCTAACAGAGAAGAAAAAGAAAATGATGAAGGGTTTATAAACCATTACCGAGTATTTAGGTTATTTTAAGGGTATAATTATAATTTCTTTCAGTCGTAAACCATAGATTGATCTCTTAGGTTTCATACACTTACCTTTAATTCCATATAATTCATATTTATTTCCCCCATTTGAAAAGCGGGAGGGTATATAGTAATCGGTATGTCCGTCCGTCTGTCTGTCTGTCTGTCTGTCTGTATAGCTGTACGTGTGTCTGTTACGCTTTGCGGTACCCATCTCTTATCCACAACTCCTCTCATACCACTGAATAAAATTTGATTAAACTTTCGAACAATCTTTATTACATATTGCCATTGTGCATCTCCTACAATACTTTTTAATCCGACACATATTTTTGGGTTTCCCACAGCAAAACATGGACACTGCCGTTATATTCATACGGAAGGCGGGGGTATCATTTAGTGAGCTCATTGCTCACAGTACCTCTAGTTCTGTCATATTTTTTTTATATTAAACATTATTACAGTTGGAGCATATGAACTGTATTTTCAAACCTTTCGATCCTCAACAACGTTGCCAATGACGACAGGATTCCCAGGTCATACTAAGGTCAACACTTCTAACCCAATCACATTTAAGCACACTAGTGTAGCCACGCCTACAACAACATCCAATGTATCAACTTTACATTCCTTCACTACGACCACCACAACAACACCTTCCTCAAGCAGTACATATTCTACCTCGTCCTTAAGAGCGAATTCCACAGAAGCTACAACTCCTTTGATTCCCAGAGGAACAACTGGATCTGTTTCTTCTGCGACAACTATTTCATTTTCAACTGGTAATCGTAATAGCTTTTCATGCAGGATTTTAATTGACATGAGTCGAACGTAATACCTATACTGATAGTTGTCTTCTATTTCATTTTTATGTCTGCAAAAATTATATGTTTAAATTTTTTAATTACTTCGTCGTATGATTTTTTTTAATTTCATACAAATATTGATTTGATTTTAGTATTTGGCCTTTGCTGTAGAAAAAAAGTCTCTCATCGAAAAAGTAAATCCTTCGTGCAACCCTTTACAGTGCAATGCAAATGGCTTTTACAAGTCTAGCAGAAGATTAAAAAACAATCTTGAATTTTATTTCATAATTTTTAAAATGGACTTTTTGAAGTGCAATTCAAAAAAAAAAATTACTGTAACTTTGTTTCAGATCCTCCAAGTAACTGCTCCGATAGTATAACAAATTGTGACACTTTAAAAGGGTACGGTGTGTGCCACGCGATTCCAGAACAAAGATACAATTACGATATCGCTTTCCTGCAGTGTAGGTCAACTTGTAACCTTTGTACAGGTATTTCCCTTATAATTAGTACTTAAATATATCTATATCACTGCTTCAATTTGATACAATGATTTTGATTATTTTTATTTCGAGATTCACTTTTCAATTATGAATTTAGCAATGTATCTCGTAATTATATGATTCTTTTTATCCAATGACTTTATTACTTTATTCTATAGAAGAATATAAGCCACCTGTTACAACTACCCCTCGACGTGAGTAACGTCAAAATGAATCAAAAGTGTTATTTATAAGTTAAAGAAAACAGGTTGTGATGTTTTAAAAAATAATACATTTACAGACAAAGGTAATTTGTTTATTTCATGCAATAATACTCTGTTTAAATTGATAAGTTGTTTATCATATAGCAGTTTCAATTCCTTTAAGATTGATATTTACTGTTTAGAATTATTTTACAGCGGCTATTCACTGTCAGGTGTGTGGGGACTATAACAATGATATTCCTTGTGATACTCGTAGTATTTACATTGGGCCAACCGTCTCCTGTTCAGGCAACAATAATTACTGCATGACGGACATAGTGCATAGCCATTCCAACACAAAGGTCTTCAAAAGGTGACAAACATTTTGCACAAGACGAAAGACCACCTTTAAGCAATCGCTTAATGGTAGCTTAATGGTGACTTAATGGTTCTTAAAGAAGTTAACTCCATTAAGCCACCATTAAGCTGCAACTTACAGGTGCTTAATGTCCAAACTTCATTAAGCTACCATTAAGCCACCTTTAAGCCGAGCTTAATGGTGACTTAATGGTCAAAACTCATTAAACTTATACGTTTTACGCATTTTATATGGAATCTTTGATCTAACTTTTTAAGTTATTTCAATGTCATTTACGCAAAATCTATTTTTTTGTGATTTATAATTTTGTCTCGGTCGTCATTTTTATATATTTACATCCACTGAATATTTTCTCCTTTATTTCTTAACAAACCCCATTGCGTTCATCACTGCATAAACTACAGTAGGCAGGTCGCCTGTACAGATTTCTTAATCAGTGGCTGTTCCATCAATGAAACGTATAAAGACGTTCGCATCATTAATCTTTTTAATCCTACTTTAATTGATTATTTAAACAGGTATAAATATAAACAATAAAATGCTTTCTTTGTTTGTTGTTACTGGAATGAACGGAAGCAGACTGTATGCCATAACCCGCGTAAGCGGGTTATGTAAATTTTTTCTGCAATAGCTGCATTTTATTGTTTAAATAACATTTCTGTCAACATATGCAAATCTCGGGCACTGAGAATAAAGTTAGCTAACAGGGGCTTGCTCCCGGTTCCTAATAATTTTTTTTAATCATTTACAGTATCAATAAAAAAGAAGTTTTATCTTATTACCGCATATGATTTTTTAAAATAAATAATTATTACATACGTTGTTTTTATTATTTGTGTATATGATTTTTGTTTTAAAATATAAATAATTATATTATTACACGCCGGGGTCAACCCCCTGTGAAATATCTTAATTTCTCACTACCGAAAATAAATTTGTTCTTAAAATTATCTTTATCCATAAACACAACACATATATTCCTTTTTTTTAAAGAGATGGTATTTTTATTTCATGTGTTAAAAACAACATATTCCGCTACAGAATTCCCAGTAATATGGAGTAATGTTCTCATGAGAAAAAAAATCTCTTGAAATATACAGTTAACCACAGGTACAAAAAATGTAGTTTTCAAAGAGAGAGAGAGAGAGAGAATTCGTTATTTTTTCTTATAATTTATATAATACAGCGGTAATACTTCAAAATTTCCTCTTCAATCATTGTTATTTCAAAATCGATTTTCAGAAGAACAGCCGATCAGATTAAACATGACATCCGTTTATACAAATTGGGAAACGGGGTAAGATTAACAGTGAACAGTACCGACTGGTTAAAAATAAACCACCGTCCCCAGTCAACTAACAGGAAACTATACATACACAACGTACACTAACAGATTTTGATGATCAATTATTTTTACAAAATTTAAATTTAATGCAAGCATATAGCAAATTAAAAATTACGATTCATTGTAAAATGACAATTATTTTGATACCCATTATGATACAAAAAGAATTTCAACTGAATATGATATTCGAAAAAAAGTTTTTGTAAACATATACACTGTAAACCAGGTAACTCGTAAACGAGGATTGTCACTAGGCCTAAATCTAAGACACAAAAACCGTTAATATCCGCAGAATATTTTATTATTAAAAAAAATTTCATCTGTCTTTCCCGATGATGGATTTTTTGTGTTTTATCTATAACTAATTTAATTTCAATCATGATTTAATGCTTACACGTATAAATCTTCGAATAAGAGAGCGGAGAATTCATTACAATTTAAAAAGCCGAACTCAATGGTTTAGAAATATTAATGTGATATAAGCCTTTTAAAAAGATCCATAAATAAAAATGTTTATAGTTTGATTAATAAATTAATTCAAGACTTTGGAGACATTCAACAAAATAAATACTTTTACAAGTCCAAAACAAACTTTGTGCAAAATAAATGTTAAATATTGTCCTGTAAATATTAAGAGCGATATTAGCCCAATGGTTAAGGTGACTGCCAACTACTCGTAGGGACATGAGTTCGCTCCCCGTGTGTTGTGTGATTTTTTTTTAAATTTTGAATTTCGTTCTTTTTCTTGTTTTTACTAAATCAAGAGATGTGTGAACTCGACATTTATAATTTGTGATGACAAATCACTATAATAATAATTTTTCACCCATAAAAACAGTAATATCGACTGCGTAATGGTGGCTTAATGGTGGCTTAATGGTAGCTTAATGGAGTTTGGACATTAAGCACCTGTAAGTCTAGCGTAATGGTAGCTTAATGGTGACTTAATGGTGGTCTAAAAGTTACCATTAAGGACCTGTAAGCCACCATTAAGCTACCATTAAGTTACATTTAAGCACCCATTAAGGACTTTGAGATGGCTTAATGGTTACTTAATGGTGGTGTAAATGTTACTTAAAGGTCATTAATGGTGACTTAATGGTGACTTAAAGACAACCATTAAACCACCATTAAGGACCTATAAGCCACCATTAAACCAAGCTTAAAGGGTGTGTTTCATCTTGTGTTGTTAGCATATTTTCCGTCTTAAGGGACTCCAACCCTCACCCAGGAAGGACAACTCTTTAATTTATGATTTATTTCAAAATGTCTTTAAATGAAGCTTGAAAATTAAATCTTTTCATGCAATAATTTTCATTATATGCTTCTCAATGTGCTTACATTATACTTTAGTATAATACATAATTTACAGGCCTAATTGAGTGTGGGAAAATGTACAGTTGATTGAATGTTTACATGTATTTATATCATAACTATTGTAAAAATAAAGATTCTAATAAGACCGAAAGAATAAAACAAGCAATATGTCTATTGTGCGACATAAATGAAACAACAATATAGATAAAAACTGAATATAACGAACAGTTATCAAAAAACAGAGACACCTCGTAAATCCAGTGGTGGGATCAGACGCCTAGGAGGAGTAAACATCCCCTGTTGACCAGTCACACCCGCTGTTTTCCCCTTATCATGATATATGTAAGAAGATCTAATGCTCATCAGTTTGTGGAATTCTTTCCTTTGGAGCAGGTGCGTGAATGAGACTGTATGCCGGAACCAGTGGTTATCTCAGACCTCTGACCAGGACCATTGTACTAACTATGGTCACGTGCCAGTCAGCGGGGATTACACGTGTCACTTCTGCTGTACCTCTAACCAATGTAATCAGGGCTTACTGCCACAATCATCCACTCTGTATTCCAAATCCTGATTGGTTGTTTGATGTAGAATTCATTTTAATCAACTCAATAAATATTGTTGAAATTCCATTTTAAATTTTTATTACTAAATAATTTAACAATCACAATCATTACTATAGTACAGATTAATACGAGTAGTTTTTTACGTAACAGTCTTATCTTATAAAGGTCGCCAAAGAAAAATCTCTTGAAATATACATTTAACACATCATACATATATCCAGAGAGAGAGAGAGAGAGAGAGAGAGAGAGAGAATTTCCTTTCAGTACGAATTAATACTTGCAAAATTCTTCATCACCTTGTAACTATTAAAGCAAGATGTTTATTGTTTTCCTTTTTCTTATGAAATATCTTGAGTAAAACTTTGTGTATACTATCAAAAATTTGACGTTCAAGTTTTTGTTATACCATTTTTTTTTTGTCATTCCATTAATGAACAACTTTTATGTGTTCCGTCAGTGACACATTACGGTTTAGGGTGAACGAAGTCCTTTCCACGCATGTCCGTGAAGTTGGTACACTCTTTGATTGCCGAGTTAGGAACCTGTACGACAATGTTAATTAGTAAAGAACATATCCGCAAACTCCCATAAACCTCACCCATATTTACTTTATTGGGGTTCGTTACACTCTTCTTTAAGATGAAATATATGGAGAGAACGAACAGTATTCAAGCTCAAAAGTCCATTAAACCGTACCGATACAAAATAGGAGAAGAGCAAACACTGACCTCCAAAACGTCAGAGGTGGGATCAGATGCCATGGAGGAGTAAGCATCCCCTGTCGACTGGCTGCATCTGACACGTGCTCTTATTATGATCGGGAAATAACAGAGAAATCCATTGACAATTCGGTGTGTATTTAATGACCTTACAATAAGTTTGAAAAACGTCAGTCAGCCTATAACTAAATGATAAATTGTATTTGCTGACAAGGTCATTGAATCGACCATAAAACATACTTGACTTTAAACGAGACTGCTGATATTTCTGTTTTAGCAACTTGCTTGTCCTAACTTTCCTCGTTTAAAATTTTTTTCATACTTAAAGCAATCTCTTCCGTATTGCATCAACTGAGAGAAACAAGCCCCGTATGCAGGTGATGAAGGTGTATTGCTTCATAAGTAAGGGAAGTTGACGATTGAAAAGTTAAAGTAATTTCGTTTGTCATGATTTTTTGGCTTGAAGAAGTATTTTCGTTTGACGAAGTAATATAATCTGTAATGATGTTTAATGAAATGAACTTAAATATATTTCCTTTTAATATTTTATCAGTTATTACCAATCAGTTCATATTTGTAAAAAAAAAAAAAAATAACAATAACCATCATAAACGTCAACAATAACGATTGAAAAAAAAATTATTATGGACAAGAGAGAGAAATGCAGGGAGAGTGAAGACTTGGAATATAATGCAATGAAGTATTCTTTCATTAATTAATATGATTTTCTGACACGATTTATAAGGATTCTTAATATATATATATATATATATATATATATATATATATATATATAGAAAGCACAAAGAAATTCATTTTACATGGATAGCAGCCCGGGGTTGATTGTTGCCTGGCATTGTTTAGTACATGAACAGATGTTTGGCTATCTAGGCAATGACTTGCCTAGATAGCCGAAGCAGCGCGCTGTTCCTGTACTGCTAGGATCCAGATTCCGAAGGTATAGAAACCCCGGGCTGGTCATGATATCCATGTAAAAGTGAATTTCTTTGTGCTTTCTATATATTAATATTTCTTCACTTAGGGCAGTTATGTTAGTTTAAGAGTTGTTGTAAAATGTGCTTTATATATATATATATATATATATATATATATATATATATATATATATATATATATATATATATATATGATATACCTACCTTGGTAAGCGGTGTGTATCTTGGGTGATGATGCTCAATGATCGGGTCATTGCTGGCTTTGTTGTAAGTACAGATGTACACCCATCTGCGCATGTCACTGTTATTATCAGAACTGTGGTGTAGCACATTGCAGTGAAAAAACAGAGCATCCCCTGCGATGTAGATTATTTTGAAACAAGTTATTTTCTAAATTTAGAAAGAGGTTTTTGACATTAATTTGACAAAACTTGAATAAAAGTGAAATAACCAAAAAGTTTCTTGTGTGAATTGTCAGTCCAGTATCCTTATGTAGAGAATTTTGATCAAACATTTCAAAATAAATCGAACGAGAAAACCTCTTGTTATTCTTTTAAAATCAGATTCCGAATGTAAGCAGTGGTATGTTTACGCTCAGACCTGTGTTTAATTTGTAAATGAGTTTGCTCTTCTTTCTTGTCTTTGAGATTTGAATTTTAAATACTAGCATTTCCTACCTGGAGAAAAAATTACTTACGTATTTTTCTACTCAACGTTGCTGACAATACCATTTTTCAGACAACAATTATAAAAATAGAATAACATTTCTGTCTATCTGAGGAATCTATGTTTAATGAAACTAATTTGATGTAGAAATAAAATTCAGTAGTGTAATCTCTTGTTAGAGTAAAGATAAAATCCGTTAAATCTGACATCACATCTAATTAATATTTTTTCTTCGCAATGATTTAGAAACCTTATTTTTTACCTGGATCCATTTCCACAAACTTGTGAGGACACGTCTTCTTGATTTCTTCCACTCGTGTGAGATCAGCCTCTGCTTGCTTCAGAACAGGATGATGGTCAATCCTGCCACATTTGTGAGAACCTTCCAGTATCTTAAAAAAAGCATTATGTTTGTTTCACGTATGTGATTCATTTTACAGCAGTAATGGAGATATTGTTGCCTGTACATTGTTTCGAAGTCCATATCGATTAACGCTTGCGATTAGTTTGAAAGATGTTTATGGGGGGATTCTGAGTACCTGTAAACAGCCATTTTCTTTCCTGCAAGGATCCAATGGAATGAAAACGGTCATCATATCAGGAAAGAGGCATCCGTTGTTATACCAATATCTAAAGAAATGAGAATGATCTTTAACGACATACTTAGTAATAAATACAGGATTTTTGCATATGTGATATGGCTGACGTCACAATAGGCGTATCAGCCCTGTAGGGTTGATATGGATTTGCAGGGCTGATATGGATTTGCGGGGCTGATACGGATCAACATCACACCCCTAGAAAATTAAACCTCAAAAATCAGTACCTGTCATACATATTTTTTTGGGGTTACATATTCTTTTTATTTTAACTTTTTGAATGTAAGGATATTTTCAAATTATGGATCGGGCATATTTGAAATGGAAGTGCATGTAGAAACAAACCCAAAAAGTATGAGACAATAGACTGTGTACATGTAAGGAGTCCGTGCATGATTATTTACTTATTTTCTTCTCAACTTAATGTGTACTGTATTTTATTACTAAGTTTGTAATAAACATAATAAAACATACCCTTTTCCACATCACATCCTGTATCAGCCCTCGACCAATATCAGCCCCCAGGCATTCAGCCCTCTGGCTGATATTGGTGTCTCGGGCTGATACAGAATGTGATATGAAAAAGGGTATGTATTATTCTATATAGATATTGATACGAGTATTCCACACTTTATTACTTCTTCTTAAATCGTGTTATAAATTTTTGCATAAATTACAAGCGTACCTCAGAATTCCGTTACCCATTATATTTGGTATAAGGTTTCTATCATTTTGTTATCTTTGTATCCGTTATTTGGTTTAATGTACTCTCTGTATAGAAGAACATCCTTACTTGGCTGAAAGATTATGACCTGTAACATCCGAACTTACTGTTATCCTTCAATGACAATACTGATTGTTTTTACTTGATTCTTGATGCACCAGGTGACATAAGGTTTGATGCTTACCCGTAATCTTGGTGCCACCGGTACCATTAAGTTTGATATTTACCCGTAATCTTGATGCCACAAGTGCTGAGCTCCCTTCTGTGCCCCTTTTAATATCATCTTCCCGTGATAATGATACACTTCTCCCCCTAAAAGCTAAAACAAAGAACTTGATATAAAAGTTTTCACAAATTTCTTTGTTTTTTAATTACATATTTAAATACGCACACTTGTGTGGTCTGTTTGTCAGACGTAAAGGAGTCACTGGTATGTCATTCAAACAAAAAAATTGAGTTCAGCCATCGAACACAATATCAACAGAAATCTTTAATTTGTGCAGAGAGGACGTTTGTAAGAAGCGCTGACTTTTAAAATCGACGACTGACTTTTACACTAGTACAATTAAGGCAAAGTCTTGATTTTTGTTTTTAATCTCGTCGTGTAATCCTTTGTACCTGTTCGCATGTTCCTGCCACTTTTTCGCTGCGAGCCACCATTCCTGTGACGTCCGTACCAGGGTGCGACCAAACAATTCTTTGCGTCTTCTTTTCTTTGTTTACTTCTTCAGCCTGTATAAAAAAAAACATATAGAGATAACGAACAGTATTCCAGATCAAAAGTCCATAAACAATACAAAATAGGAGCAGAGCAAACACAGATCTCCAAAACATCAGAGGTAGGATTAGGTGCCAAGGAGGAGTGAGAATCCTCTGCCGATCGGTCACACCCGTGTGCTCCTTGTCAAATATTTGTATTATCATAAAATTACCTGCTTATGTTTTAAAATCAATCATATGGTTTAACAACATATATTTTTCTTTTCGAACAGTACCTCATAGTTTTCTTTCATCATTGCGTCACTGCCCTCGAGTACTTTCAGTACTCTGTTAACCTCTTCTTTGTCCAGGAGACCTCTATTGAAATTTTAATTTCTAAATATCAAATCAATCACTAAATCCAAGAAATAGTACTTTGCAGATTTATATTCAAGATTTGTCGCTGTCATTTGTATCAATTTTTTATATTGTTTGAATAAACTGCAATCTTAAATTCTAACAAATTAATTATTATGAAGACAATATGTCGTTGAGTTGTACAAGGATTAAGTTAGCTTCCACTTTTACAGAATTTTTAATCGACGTTTTCTAAAACATGCAGTGTGGACGTAATTTCATTTATTGATTTTTTTTCCAATTGAGTTTAATCTAAGGGCTTTTTCTTAATCATCCATAAGATACATTTTTAAAAATTTATCATTAACTTATTATGTATTAACATTTGGCAGCGAAAGAATGATTTAATCCAGCGATGTGGATAAAATTGACAACTTTCGCTTTATAAGCACTCTCAGTGGTCATGAACATGATGAATTCAAGTCGTAAAAAAGACGTTGGAAATTTTAAGGTTGAAATTTAGTTCATCATTCTCGATATATACGTGAATGGCTCATGTTTTTGTATTTGTACGGATTCAAACATGCCAAGCTTCAAAGCATACACTATTTATATAAATATCTGCGGAATGTATCCTTAATTGAAATAATCTTATCAAATTAGGCTGCTGCTCAGCAGAATCAGGGAAAGTCCATCCTTTCTTATTATAAAGCACCAAGCCTTTATTTCACTTTGGGAGATGGGGTTAAAGTTTTACAGTACTGAGTATATCACTATATTGTTTATCACGAGTGTTATAATGATCGTGCAGGTATCTGAATAAATTATCTATCTCACTTGATTAAGATGTATCCATACTCTTCAAAGTCCCTTTTCGCCTGGTCAGATAGCTTAAAATTATCTGTGTATTCATACTCTATAAACAAATGTAGCTTGATCAAAATATAAAAGAAGAGACAAATTACATGTAAAATTACAAGTGATTTGCGAAAATGGCCCTTTTCATAATTTCGAATTTTAACATTTAAAATAAGTTAACAAAAAAGGAATTCAAATAAATATGTAGACATTTTGGCATATTTTATTAATAATTTATCATACTAATAGATAATCTTTAGACAAATAGACAAAATCCTACCTGAATGTCGCTCCATACTTTCCTTCCCTGAAATTAAGCAGTGTCCTAAATATGTGTAATTATGAATACGTGCTATGTAACTTTATCATATTCATTTTTTATACAAATTGTTCACAGATCAAGTGGATAGTGAAGATAATAAGTCAATAACACTCATACCATTTATATCTGAACTTCGCCAGTTAAATATTTTTCAAAATGAAAGTAACACTAATGGAGTTTTATGAAGAGATTTACAATCGACGACTGACTTGTACAATTTAAACAGAGACAAACTCCAATTACTAAAATGTAAAAGTCAGCCGTCAACTGTAAAAGTAAGTCTCTTCATAAAACTCCATTATTGTTAATTCAGAAAGTGACAATGTAAAAACATAAAGTTAAAAAGTTAGAATTGATACTTACCTAGTTGACTCTCTTGTTTATTTACTTCAGGAAGCTTTAATCTCATAAACGTATATCACATGTGAACGATTATCTCTCGCCTGGATTAAAAATAAAGAAATCAAAGTACATATTGATTTTGCTAGAAAAAAGACAAGGACAAAATTATCAATATTTGGCACATTCTTTTTTATATTAAAAAAAAATATGACCATGAAATATAAAGTTAACGAAAGTTAATAGTAAAACTAAAATCAGTGATGAAAGTTATGCTAAAATGTCCAGAATACTTAACAATGAGAGCAGATATAGCATCGAAGCAATGCACTTAAAAAAATTACGCACTTTGAAATTATTTTTTTTTCAAAGTGCATTTAAAGTGGGAAAAGAAATCAACACACTTCGAATTTTTTTCAAAGTGCGTTAGCTTTGGGTAAAAAAAATCGAAGTGCGTTACATTATTAATGGAGGCACTTAAATAAACGCACTTTGAAAAAAAAATTTAATAAAACAAAATTCCAGACCTTGTTTTTTTTTTTTTTGATATAGACAACGTTATTTGAATTGATCTACCCTTATGGAGAACGAGGAGAAGACAAATAAAAAACCTCAACCCATTTATCTTTCCTACCAAAATATGCATTCATATTTATCTTTCCAAATTTAACTTAACGTCAAATTATTTAAAATTTCCTAAAAAAAGCACCCAATTGTATCATAGAAGAAAGATTCAAGGGCCATATAGCTGATTAAATCAACAATAGCTAATTGACTTAACTTTGCTCAAAGTATCTTTATTAAACCAAATACAAATCAACTATTAAATCTATTTTCTTTTACATCTTATTACTTATCAAAGAACTATAAAAAAAACTTCAATTTGTGTCGGAAAATTATTATCAATGAGCAATCAAACTTGAATCACATTTTGTGGTAGTTCTCGTTCCCCTGAGGGTCATTTATAACAGTCTATATTTCATATCCTGAAGTGACGTCATCAACGAAAAGTTATCCAAACAGGTAATTCATATCAAACTTTCATCTGTTTGAAAATTAAATAAGATTGCTTCCCTTGACTTTTAATACATACCTGACTTACAATTCGATGAAATTATTATAAAAAAAAAGACTTTGTACGTTTCTCATCCGTAATTAATGATATTGCTAACTGCAGAATCATAGGGTTGTGGTGTTTCATAAATCAATTCACGATGTTTGTTTATTTCCTTATTGTTTCTTATTACAATAGTATATGAGGAACAAAGCATATACACAAAATACAAAGTCAAGTAGCTCTGTGGCTCCAATTTCGGCATACACCGTCAATACCCGCCGACCATGGAGGAGCGTAGAACTCAATTTATCCCTGTGATGCAGCAATACAGAGATGAGGGTGCATGCGTAAACTAGTGCGCGACAAACTGTACGCAAATGGCTACTTATACGAGCCCGACGTAGATTATGACGAACCTGATGAGGAGCCAATGGATTACGCCCTCGCTCTTCCTAAGTCCGATGTATTTAGGAATAGTAGACACGGAGACGTGGTCGCGAAAACGGACAAAAGTGATTCCAATACAAGACAACGCGGTCAGGACATGGGCCAGCTAAAATGGATAAGTAACCCAATACAAAGAAATAAAAAATCAGAGAATGTTAGTGATCTTAGTATTATATCGTGGAATGTTTGTCGTTCCTTCTCAACACTTATTGTTTTATTTTATTTTATCAGATGATAGTTTAGGATTTTTTTTTTTAGAAAACTCTATTGAACCCTTATGTCCAAGTTGTGATCAGAATGATCAATGCCACTACTCGCTTTGTGATAAATGTGAATACCACACTGACTACAACCCTCCTCAACTTAAATGTATACAACAGGTATATATCTACAATGTATATGTGGAGGTTCTTATAAAAAGTCTGTTTGTACCCATATTATTAAGATGATAATTATTTATTTTATGATAATTGATTATACTACAATTTTACATTGCATTATCAATAATGAATAAAATATCAAACTAACAAAATATGATTTTTCTATCAAAGTGACACCACTGTCACCCAGATGATGTTCATCATTTATGTTGCCGAGATTTCAAATGTATAGGTTCGTGATGAACTCGATTTTTTGCAATAATTATATTTTGGGTTATTATTTGACACAGACTACTGTCATATTTTACCTTCTTTTTTTTATCACATTGCTTTACAACAATAATCAAAATCGTGAAAATAGTTTGTCTCAATAAAAGAAAAGAATTTCAAATATATGGTGTTATACGTACATTTTTCCTTTCAATTGATTGAATATATATCTAAAATGTTGAGATAAAAATACTGTTAAATGTGAAATTTTCCATAAAAACAAAAATAACTATGATTAGAGCAGGCCTTTGGATCTATTTATTGGATGATTTCAACAACTCTGCCTTTGTCACATCAAGTTCCCACACTATCAACTGCAGGAACTAGTACAACGGCGATTAAGGTTCCTACACTACAAACTAAATGAAGTAGTACAACCTCGGTACAGACAACCAGAGAATTGGATATGGTGGAATACCCAATCTGTAGGAATGGGCAGTGTGACTTCAAAAACAACATCAAATTTATTGCGTGCAAAATATCATTCGATTCAAAGAATGTATCGATAATGCCAATAACTCACTGTGACATTGCGGTAGTGAATAACTTGGAACATATTCATCGCTTATGCTCATAGTCTCTCATTTATGATTAATTTAAATCGGTTTTATAATTGAAAATGTTGAGTTGAAGTTTGAAGACTAAATTAATAATGTTTGTAAGCTAGATTGCCTCTTCGTGTATTTACAATAAAGAAATCTACTTTATTGTCAGGTTCAATAATATTTAACCCTTATTACACCTAATCGGACTTGTGTTCTTGGGGAAATGTTATTTATTTCCAATAATTGTACAACTTATGGTTGGGATCGGTTTAATTTTGATCGGGATTGGCCAAAATAAAAAAAAAATAATTTCTCTAAAATGTGGCTATTTCGTTTTAATTTCTTTTATAAATATGATTAACGAACATATTCACCCCAGTTGTGACTGGTTTTAAGAAATTTTTAACCACAAGTTTAAAAGGTATTCACAAATTACGTGTTTAATTTTCAAAAATAATTTTTTATTTAATTTTTTTAAAGAACTATACAGCTTTTCTTTCCATATTTTATTTGGTATTCATGTGATGCATTCATTTACAGCACATTTTTTTTTTACAAGAAAGCATCTAATTTGGATGTTAATATTTTTTTTAATTTTCTTTGAAACAATACGAAAAAATTCATATAAAATAATTAAAAGCTAATGTTGACCTTTCAATGGTGAAACCATTGTTTAAAATGGTTGACTCAGATATCTTTAAAATAAAAAGTTGGAGTGGCATTCCTCCTTAAGAGTATGCTGTATCAGATAAACTAAAAGATATAAACCCCGTAAGTGCATGTGATGAAGGTATATAAATATTGCTGTATAAGAGAGGGAAGTTGACGATTGAAAAGTTAGAGTCGTGTTGTTTGTCATAGTGCGTGGTTGTTAGATTATCATTAACATCTTTTCCCAGCAATATAGCCAAATATGAAAAAACTGTGCCCAACTCTGTGGCATCTTTTATTTCAAGCTCACCGGGATATATCGTATGAACATAAGAATTGAAATAACCATTATGGGGTTTTCAAAATTAAATTTCACAGTTGATTCGATACGCAAGAGAATGCTCTAGGTAGGTAAAATTTCTAAAACAAGGTAAAATATTGACAAACATGTTCATGAAACAAGAATATCAACACTTTTATTTAAAGTCATCAATTTTTAAGTTCTATATATGGTTGCTACCTTGTCAGCAAGTACAATTTATCAATGAATCAAATGCTGACTGACGCTCTCCATACTTATTGCTAGTCCATTATATACATACTGAATTGAAAACGGATTTGTCCGTTATTTTTCGATCATGACAAGGAGCAGACGGCGGATGTGACCGGTCAGCAGGGGGTGCTCACTCCTCCATGCATATCGCACTTAATTCCACCTCTGATGTTTTGGAGGTTTATGTTTGCTCTATTCCAATTTTGTGTTGTTTTATGAACTTTTGAGCTTGAATACTGTTCGTTATCTCCATATATTTCATAAAAACCATATTCAAATAATATGCATGAAAATAAAACCTGATGGAAGATTTTGTTTTTCTAGGATAATCGTGCAAATGGAGCAGACTTAATATGTTGTAGAACTGTCCAGTGTATCAGTAAGTACCGATATAACTTTTCTTTTTCATATGTTATTAATATGGCTGTTTAAAAGATATACAAATAATGAAACTAAGGCAGTTTTATGTGTATCTGGCGTGGGTGTAGAGCTTATCTGACAAAAAACCTAAGTCTGCAAAGATAAAGAAGATTAGATTAACCCTATGAATTATATATTGTGTCGCATTAAATTCCTTAGAATGAAAATATTTAAATGAAACTCCTTTTTTATTAATTTTAACAAATGAAGAAATGAGACAAAGCAACATTGGCCGTGGTGAGAATTTTAAAAAATCCATGGGAAGTGATTTATGATTTGCGAAACATTATCTCGTAGGATGTAGACTGATTTCACTGTGTCTTGTTTCATTTGTTGCATGTTTTATATCATGAAGAAAGAGCAAATAATTTTTTTTAAAAAAAAGATCGGGTTAATGTGAAATGGTTCTGCTGTCTAACATCATCTCTTATCACACAGAAAAGAAAAAGAAAATGATGAAAGGTTTATCAACCATTATTTTAAGGGTATACATATATATTTGTTTAGTCGTAAACCATGTTTTTTTATCTTGTAGGTTTATCACACCTAAATTTAATGTCATATGATTCATATTTTTAAAATAAAACATTGTTACAGTTTGGGCATATAAACAGTATTTTCAAACCTTTCGATCCTCAACCACGTTGCCAACGACGACATGATTCCCAGATCATATTAAGGTCAACACTTCTAACCCAATCACATTTAAGCATACTAGTGTAGCCACGCCTACAATATTCAATGTATCAACTCACCTTCCTACACTACAACCACCACAACAATACCTTCCTCAACCAGTGCATATTCTCCCTCGTCCTTAAGACAAAATACTTCAGAAACTATAACTCCTCTGACCCTCAGAGGAACAACAGGATTTGTTTCTTCTGCGACAATTGTTTCATCTTCAAATGGTAATCTTCATAGCATTTTGTTTGCAGGATTTTAAGTGGCGTAAGTCGACAGGAGTCACTCCTCTTAAAAGTAATTCCTCCGTGCAACCGTTTTCAGTACAAGGCAAACAAAAGATAGAGAAAACAATCTTGATTTTTATTTGATAATTTTTAAATCTTTATTTTTGAAATCAGTGCAATCCAAAAAAAAAAAAAAAATAATAATAATAACAAAAATAAAACAGACT